ATGTATTTTGGGGGTCACCAATCTTGATTGGAACTTTGCGCTTCTCAAGCTTCCCATTTGGCCCATGGCTGATAAACTCAGCGGTAGCCTGGTAGTATTGCCGAGTGCTTCCTATGCCTATTTGTTTCCGTAAGACAGTAAATTTATTAGCAAAGGGTCGCATTCTAAGGTATGCCTTTGGTGGAGAAAGTTTTTCAAACTTGGTACATAAGGCCCGTGTGATTTGGATCTGAAGAGAGTGGAAGATGGATTCACGTCGAAGATATCATTCACAGGCGGTGACAGTCAGCAGAATACCCTCCCTTGCCCGAAAAGGAGTGGAGCGCAGTACCACCAGCTGGCTTGGCTTGACGTCGTAAGTAGGAAGAGTCGCTCAATTTGCTATCATTGAAAACACATAGGATGATTAAAGGGAGGAATGTTCCTTGAGATAAAATACCAATCGCATCATTGAGCGCGACAAAGCCAGGGTGATGTGAACTGCAAACATGCCAAACTCCTGCGTGAGGTGAAGCTACGTCGAGGGGGGGACATACGGAGTATAGAGAGGTACACTATGATAGATTAATAGAGATATGATGATATATTGATATGCACACTGCGTTGAGCAGTGCAAACTGGTATAACTCGCTATTTTTGGCTGCCACAGCTGGCCGCCAGTCTAAACAAAGTAAACGCCATCCCAATGTCTATCATGACTTGTTGAATCACATCATGCTGCTCATGCCACCGTAAATGCCTCAAGGCAAGTGTTGAAGAAAGGTTGAAATAAAACTGAATCAGAAGAATGTTGAAACATGGGTATCATTTAATCCGTCTCATCTACCGGGCCGCAGGTGCAGAACAGGTTCTGATCACCGTATGCTATACATGAATTAGCTTCATCTCTTTAAAAAGAAAACAAACGAGAAAAGGGGAAAACTTACCATCATCCACTCGCGTCACCGAGGGCCAGAACTTCTTCTCCACCAGATATGGAAGGGGATACGCCGCAGACTCCCGCGAGTAGGGACGGTTCCACTCGCTGGACAGCAGATCGCGCTGCGTGTGAGGGGCGTTCTTGAGAACGTTACCCTCGCGGGGCTGCTCGCCGCTCTCAACGGCGGCAATCTCCTTGCGAATGGAGATGAGGGCATCACAGAACCGGTCCAGCTCCGCCTTGTTCTCCGACTCGGTGGGCTCAATCATGAGAGTGTTGGCCACAGGCCAGGACATGGTCGGGGCGTGGAAGCCGTAGTCTTGCAGACGCTTGGCAACATCAATGGCCTCGATACCGCAGGTATCCTTGAACTTGCGCACATCGAGGATGAACTCGTGGGCGCAGCGGCCGTTGTCGTTGGTGTAAAGAATGGGGTAATGGGGCTTGAGGCGGGAGAGGATGTAGTTGGCATTCAGGAGAGTAATCTTGGTGGCATGAGTCAATCCCTTGGCACCCATCATGTTGATGTAGTTGAAGGTAATGGGAAGAATGCTGGCGCTACCCCAAGGAGCGGCGCTGATTGGGGGCGAAGAGGTCTCCCCACGCTTGGATTGCAAATACTCGCTGGCCGGGTGCGAAGGTAGGAAAGGACGCAGGTGCTCCGCAACGCCAATGGGACCCACGCCGGGGCCACCACCGCCGTGGGGAATGCAGAAGGTCTTGTGCAGGTTCAAGTGGCACACATCGGCACCAATCTCACCGGGAGAGCACAGACCGATCTGCGCGTTCATGTTGGCACCGTCCATGTAGACCTGGCCGCCGTGCTGGTGGACAATCTCGCAGGCCACCTTGACACCCGGCTCGTACACGCCAAAGGTGCTGGGGTAGGTGATCATGATGGCCGCAAGGTCATCCTTGTGTTTCTCGCATTTAGCCTTGAGGTCGGCCAGATCCAAGTTGCCGGTCTTGGTGTCGCACTTGATCGTGACCACGCGCATACCAGCCATGGCAGCACTGGCGGGGTTGGTGCCGTGAGCCGAGACGGGGATCAGACAGATATTGCGCTTCTCGCCCCCGTTGACTTCAAGATACTTCTTGATGACACGCAGACCGGCAAACTCGCCTTGAGCACCAGAGTTGGGTTGCACGGTGATCTCGGCCATGCCGGTGATGTCGGCAAGCTGCTGTTCAAGATCGTCAATCATCTGCGTGTAGCCCTTGGCCGTGTCGGCGGGCATGAAGGGGTGGAGCTGGGAGAACTCGGGCCAGGAGACGGGGATCATCTCGGTGGTCGCGTTGAGCTTCATCGTGCAGGAGCCAAGAGGAATCATCGAGTGAGCAAGAGACAGATCCTTGGATTCGAGGTGGCGGATGTAACGCAGCATTTCCGTTTCGGAATGGTGCGTGTTGAACACGGGGTGGGTGAGGTAGGAGGAGGTCCGTTCCAGGTTAGGGGGGATGGACTTGATGCCAATCTCTTCAGAGAGTTCAACCTCGCCCTTGCCGGCGTGCTTGGCAAACAGCTGCAGCAGAGACTTGACCTCTTCGCGACCAACGGTCTCATCAAGGGAGATACCGACCTTGGTGGCAGACACGCGGCGGAGGAAGATGTTCTGCTCGCGAGCGGCCGCAATGAGGTCGTCGGCCTCTTGGCTGTTGGCAAATTCGACGGACAGGGTGTCAAAAACAACACCGCCCTTGACGGGAGCGTTGTAACCCAAAGCAGTCAGCTTCTCTTGCAGAGTCGAGGTCATGGCCATGACACGCTGGGCGATAGACTTGAGGCCAACCGGACCGTGGTAAACAGCATACATGGCGCTCATGTTGGCAAGCAGAGCCTGGGCCGTGCAAATGTTGCTGGTGGCCTTTTCGCGACGAATGTGCTGCTCGCGGGTCTGCAGAGCCAATCTCAAGGCCCGGTTGCCCAGGCGGTCCTTGGACACACCGACGACACGTCCAGGAACCTTGCGCTTGTACTTGTCGGCGCAGGCAAAGAAAGCGGCGTGAGGACCACCGAATCCCATGGGGACACCGAATCTCTGGGCGTTACCAAACGCAATATCCGCACCGAACTCACCCGGAGCCTTGAGGACGGTCAATGCGAGCAGATCGGTAGCAACGCTGAAGGTACCACCAGCGGCGTGGATGCTGTCGCTCAGGGCCTGGAAATCGTACACACCACCCTCGGTGTCGGGGTATTGCGCAAGAACACCAATGAGGTTGTCACCTTGCTTCTTCACCAGCTCAAAGTCGTTCGCCATGATGTCACCAACCACCAGGTTGATCCCGAATCCCTCAGCGCGAGACCGCATGACCGCAAGGGTCTGAGGGTGGCACAGATGAGACACCACATACGCCTTGCCGGGCTTCTTCTGCTTAGCCATGGGGAGGGTGGCCAGAGACATGGTCATGGCCTCGGCAGCGGCGGTGGCCTCATCCAGGACGGAGGCATTGGCGAATGGCAAGCCGGTCAGGTCGGCGGTCAAAGTCTGGAAGTTCAGAAGCGACTCCAGACGGCCTTGACTGATTTCAGGCTGGTAGGGAGTGTAGCTGGTGTACCAGGCGGGGTTCTCCAGGATGTTGCGGAGGATAACTGGAGGAACAATGGTGGGGTAGTAGCCGGTTCCCAGGTATGTCTTGCCGGAGATGTCAATCTGCTTGCGGTAGGTCTCGAGCAGCTTCAGCATATCCGTCTCTCCCAAGCCACCGTGTACACTGGATCGGGGCAAGTTGATGTTGGCGCTGGGAGGGGTGACCGTGAGGTCCTTCTTGGACAGAATATCGGCGGGAAGCACCTGCTTGACGAACTCATCCAGAGATGCTACCGGGGGGTCCAGCGCGGCGAGCATCTCCTGGGCCGCCTCGGGTGAGGGGCCAATGTGACGGCGGGGAAAGGTGTCGAGGGGTTGGAAGAGATCGCGGGGATGAGGGTCGCCATGGTCAGCTACGGAGCTGGTATAAACTGCCCGTCGCGAAGCTGGCGTTGCTTGTGTGGTAGTGTTGAGATAACGGCGAGTGGCCAATACCGGCGAGGGAGAGGCCTTGCGCAGCGAGATTGAGGCGGGAGAGGTACGCAACCGCGTACGAAGGGCAAGCTGGCGAGTGCCACGGAGGGCGCACCAGGATGCAGCCATGCCTGCCAGATAGAAGGAGTCCAATGGACCAAGGCGGAATGTCCAGAGGAGAGGAGAGTAGGTATGTGGTCAGATGTCGGTCTCACGACTCGGCCAGCTCAACACATGAACAGGGATGGATTGAGTAGGAGAATTGAGATGGTAGAAAGAAAAGAAATAAAGCAGTCATCGGAAGAAGAAAAATCGACCAGCACGAGATTGGCCGTCATAATTATTATTTCTGCTCATTGTGTCCGACAAGAAGACCGCGGACGATGACGACCGACGGCGGGAAACTTTGGCCTCGTTCCTTCAACACGCCGATAACGCTTGTCCGGGCCAATCACCGTCTGGTTAAATATCCGCCGACGCGACTGATAGAAGTTTTCCGCGGGGAACTTATCGCCAGGAGCAAGGGCAAATCCAGTGGTGCAAGTAGCAACTTGTAATGAGGAAAACCGTGTGTCAATGATCCAAGCTTCTATTCAATTGAGCTAGACATGAAGAATTCCAGACTTCCGTTTGATCTACCCTGTCGTGCAGATGAACTAACCATCAGCTACTCCAGCAGTCCAGCTTCTCTGGTGTTCGTGATACTTCCCCGAGGTGCTTTTCCTGCGGAGTTCTCATAGGGAAATACCGGGGACATCCAATAATGGCTCAATAATAGAACCATAGCTCGATTTCTAAATCTGGGGCAACATATCAGTTCTGCAGTCGACGCGATAATCCATCTACTCTAAGTCAAACCATTATCTTGCAGCAACTCCGCTGCCCACGGCCTGTCCCTCGGATCAAATTTGACTAGTTTGACTAGTAATAGAAGAATAATAGCATTAATGCATTATCTATAAGTAAGCCGTAAGCAGACCCCAATAATACAACCACCTCTATACCTCCAACGTCACATGCTATTCTATTGGCTTAAGATCAACATGTTCATGATGCTGGACATAAGAAATCACTTCTCAACTAGAACTGAGAAGAGTGGAAACGGTGTAAATAAAATCTTCTGTTGTCATCTCCTTGCTGTCCATGAGGGCTTTGTAGTGTTCAACCTTATCCTCGACCTTCTCATATGCAGCTAAATCATCCAGCTTGTTAGTCACAAACGTTTCCACTTCCTCTGTATCCCTATACTCATCCATGCGCTCATCCCACCATTCAGCACCTCGATGCTTCCGCAATTGCATGCAAGGGAAGCTAGGCATATCAAAAAAGTCGCTCGACAGAAACATGTGGAGCCACAAACTCTCCTATATCTGTCCCCTTCTCATTCATCTCCCTCTCCTCCACCCGATCCCCATCCCGACCCCGATATTGATACTGCCGAAATTCCTCCTCACACCTCCCACAATAAACCCTCAAATACCCCACCCCGACACACTCCCTACACCGCTCAAACGCAATTCCCTCACCGTCACAACTCCGACACTGCATCGAGATGCAAGGCGCATGGAACTCCCCGCGCGCCTCGTCGCCGCCGCCCTCCATCTCGAAGAACCCGCGTTTGCCGAAGCAGGACGGGCAGGGCTCAGACGTAGTGCCCGTGCCGCTGCAGCGGGGGCAGGGGTGGGTTGTTGGGCAGGTTGTGCAGGGCATTTTGCCTTTGGCTGGCTGGTTAGTCAGTTGGTATATTGTTTATTGATGCTGTGTTTCTGTGTACTTATGCTTAAACTTTGGTTGTGGTGCTAGATAGATAGACGGTGGTTAGAGGGATGATTAGTGCGGGGTATGGTATCTTAGTCTTATGCTAGGCGCTGTGCTATATTACGATAAGTTTAGAGCTGGAGCCTGGAGCATGATGACAGCAGTTGCATGACCAGGCCAGGCACCTTATGGACTGCTGACAGGGCTTGTTTTGTGTGGGGTGATGGATGCTTTAGGCATAGACGATAGATATCAGCTAGCAGATTTCCTTGGCTTGTACTGCAGGACCAGTTCATTAAAGTGCATTATTAAGTGAAAGCTAGTTACATCAAGGATTGTACTATATCTCATCCATAGATGATTAGATCGTATACCGAAAGTCAGCCGACCCCTCGATAATCCGCTGCCCCCGATCCGCCTGCTTATTGCAGATGCGGAACCACACACTCATAGCCGCCACGATGATCAGAATCAGAATGTTGCATCTGCATCAGTTAGTATTACTGCAGAAATAAGAGGAAAAGAAAGGGAGACGCACCCGATAGTCGTCAAAATGCCCGGCCGATATCCCGGCGCATCCTGGGACCGGAAGGCCAGACTGCTGATGATGCCGCCAATCCCACCAAATCCAACCAGCGTCGCGCTGGAGAGCGCTCGGGTCCACTGGCCGCGGACATTGTTGGCCTGGTAGGCCATGATGGCGGGGATGTTGGAGTTGGCGCCGGCGGTGGCGAGGAAGACGCCGAAGTAGCGGACGGCGTTGTTCGAGTGGAAGCCCAGGATGGGCAGGCCGGTGAGGCACAGGATGGAGTTGAAGACGACGAGCACGCCTCGCACGCGGTACTTGTCGCCGACCCAGGCGGAGGCGAACATGACGATGCCGGCGAAGACGAAGGGGGGTGCGACGAGGCATTGCGAGGCGCCGACGCTGTAGCCCATGCCTTCCTGGAGGATGATGGGCAGGAAGTATGCGATGGCGTAGGTGACGGTGGTTGTGCAGCTGCGATGGTCAGTGGTGGAGTGGTCACTGCCAGAAAATAAACTTACAGGAAAATCATTGCGAAGCCCCAAATCTTGAAGTCGAGCGCGGGGGTGAGGAAGCGTCTTAGAGTGAAGGGCTCATTATCAGCATCGGACCGGTCCCGGTTGATGCGCCGGACGATAAAGGCGCACTCCTTTTCGCTGAGGAATCGCCAGGATTTGTGTGCGCGATCGGGAAAGTCGACGAGCAGGAGCAGGGTCAAGACTCCAATAACTCCGGTGATCTATATCATCAGCACTGGCATTAGGTCTTGTGGGGTCAACTTACCACTCCCTCCATGATGAAGATCCATCTCCAGCCTCCCAGGCCCTGGATACCAGACATTTGAGACAAGCCGAAAGCGAGAATACCCGCCAGGGCCGAGGCAACGCATCCAATAAGATAGAACACCGAGAAGCGCTTTTGGACGTCGTCTATATCAAGTCAGATAATAGCACCGCCATCCGGGGCGAAGGGACACACTTACATCTGACATACCAACTGGAAAGCAGGTACACACAGCCGGGAAAGTACCCTGCTTCCAGAATACCGAGCAGCATACGACATACAACCATTTGCTTCCAATCTTTCGTGAAGCCCATTCCCTGTCTCGCGATTAGGCTGATGACCCTCGACTTGACTAGGGAAACATACAATCAAGATTACGCCCCATGAAATGACAATAGACCCCAGAAAGAATGTAGGGCCCAGTTTTCTCGTGATAATCGTCATGGCGGGTTGGAAGATGACATAGGGGACGAAGAACATAAGCACAATGACGGACTATCGAGTCAGTATCAGGTACTTGAGATCGAGACGTCGCACATACATATCTCGTTCCGACACGCAATCCCAACTCCTTGATCATACTGCTCAAGTTAACATCATCCAATGGCATCTGACGAAGTCAACGGTCTCATACCCCGCCACAGCAGCCATACTGAGATTCGTCCTGTCCATCAGCGAGATGCAGTATGCAAGACCCGCCATGGTGACCAGCCGCCGGTCAATGCGATGGATGATCTTGCGCTGCTCTTCGTACGAGTATTCCTCGTCATAGTCAATGTTGTCGAGAGCGCGCTGGCCGACATCTTCGACATTTTCCACACTGCCAGGCTTCTCGCTGGTAAAAGGAGACATTGCGTTTTGTCTGGTTTCTGCAATTGCGGTTGAGCTGTCAGTCAGAATTGCTGGTTTAGTCTAAGATCGGCGGGACAGACACAGATAGATATAAGTTTCAGATCGCACACCCTATGACAGTCAAATAGCAAGCTGTAGACAATTGCCCCTCTATCTGAAGCCCCCTCGAGCTAGCCAGCCTCAGCTGATCTAATTCGTCCGTGTGGAATGTAGGCACAAAGAACTACCGACAGCGCAAAACAGAACAGAGCAATAGCCGACCTGGTTTGGCAAAATACCTCGGTCGCTGGCAAGTACACCCCAGATAAAATAGGGGAAACCAGAATTGCTCCCCAACATTTTCGCTGGGGTATGTGGAGAGCGGCGCAACAGGACGATCCGGAGAAGGTCTGGATGCGGGGGAGAAGAGACAACTGACATCAACATTGGCCCTTGGCAGCTTGGCAGGATCAGGGCCAAGCGGTTTTAGGTTTCGCGATGGAATTTACGCGGTCAGCTGGAGCATGCAGGTTGAGCAGAGTAAAAACAAAAGTCTGGATGGATGCGGGAATAATGGTGTGTGCCCATGTAGGAGTGGGAAAGCTCTGGTCGCTGTCCTGCAGATACAACCTCATCCAGCAGACTGTACGACACCAAGTATACGATAAGGTATCCGACTCAATCAACCTGAAACTAGCATGTCTTTCCCATCCAAATCTCCAATCTACTAATGTCCGTCTTCACAATCCCGCAGTCAACGTATCTTCTTCAGCAACTAGCAGAGCGTCAGTTTAACTTCAGTATAGAACCCCGCGTTCACCCGCGCCAACTTTTCAAGTCCAATTGTGGCTGATCTAGGGGCCTGTTTTACCTCTCCTTAGTCTTTTTTGTAGCTGTGCACTCTGTAGCTTAGGTACCTAGGCAAGGCAGTTATCTCCAGACCCTGTCCATTTTCACCCATAACCTAGGCACAACCCTTGTCTAGTCTCTAGACACCAACTACCATCAACCTTAATCTATACCAGGATCAAAGCACCCCTCCATTGGCCAAAAATCTCCCAAATGCATGCAAGCGCAACTATCCAGCGCAGCACAGGATTGCCTTGTCTTTCTGCAAAACCACATCCATGTCTTGGTCCAGGCTAGTCGCAGCCCCAGACCGCTAACCAATCCACCACAGCTCAGACACCACGCGAACCAAAAGACTACAGTGCCGCCCGTTATTGCCTTCCATATCTGGAAACAGAGAGACACTCTTTCAAACCCTAATCACATGATGGGGTTAACCTAATTTGGAATCGCGTAAATTACGAATTATGAATATACATAGTAATGGTACCTGATTTTGTACCCCAGTCGTATTGATACAAGTCTCTGGAGGCCTGGACGACTAGAAGTAGTGATGGTGTAATTACAAAATTGGCCAATTGATTACGAAATATTGAAATTTCACTTTTTTTTCTCATTTCAATTTCATTTCAAAATTTCTTGGCATTAATGAGTCATCATTTCCCCTGGCCCCAACCAAGCCAATGGCCGAAGATCGGGTCCGACTACCCATATGACCACCAAATTGTCCCTATTGGTCAGCTGATCACTTCCTTACCTATTTAGGATTAGCGCTATTTCAGGATTTCAAGGCCCATTTCAAATTACATTTCAAGCAGCCAAATTTCAGAAATTTCGAAATATTGAAATTTCATTTTCACATCCCTAACTAGAAGGCTCCATGCAACCCAAGCAAACAAGGCGACCGTTGGTAGTCTGGGAACTTCCCTCTTCCATCCCTCAGTGGCTTCACTGCAGAGGGTCTGACGCTGCCCTGGTTGTCAATCTCCGGTCAAGTTGATAGGCAAGGCTTGACAGTAAGATTTGTATCGTGATTATCATTGCTTATTCCCATGTGGCGGCTTCAGGTGTTCATTAGGTATCAGGCATTCCTGGCTAATCCCTTACGGAGTACAGCTCTAGACTACCTACCCCTCCCCTGAAGATATTCGCGATGATCAACTGGGGGATGCGCGCTGCCGCACGCAGTAAACCCTGAAACGACGAGCCAAAAAGACGTGGAAGTAACTAATGACACGCCACACTTTTTTATGGCAATGGGTAATGAGATGTTTGGGTAGAATATCCTACCTGAAAACCACGGATAAATTGCTAAGTGGTCAAATAGAGTTACTAGTAGATATTATTGTCTTGGTCACTACAGTCACTGCTTAGGGAAATCTGTTGTATATCTGTATCCTAAATTTATCTGAGGGCAGCGCCGTCACGATTCAGATGTGTGATATGGTGAGATGTAGATGTTTTGTTGATGCCCAGTGTGTCAGGCATCCACAAGATAACTAGTTATATTAACCACCATCCTTCATCATCTCACATCTTCCCTTCTTCCTTCCTCATGCTTATTTAATTCATCAAATGCTACTACATTTGTTATTTATCTTTCTCTCGTATCTGAGCATAACAAGCACTCATGAGTTTGGGGTTAAATTTTTGGCGGAGATAGGGCAAAGGGAGTCCTAAAGTTGAGCAGATGCTATCAGGATGTACATAAGATACACTCCTGTTGTACAGTAGCTATATATTTTGCACTACACTTAGAGATCTCTTACATTCCCTGGATACTTGGTGAGTGCTGAAGAATAACCAGAGCTCTCTCTTACCTCACCTTCCTTTCTTACCTCACCATCTAATGGTGAAGGATATGGAACAAGATTTGACTCCCCGATCTATTTTCTACGGGGCCCAAATAAAGGAAAACCCAGTAATATTTCTGATGTAAGATTGGTTAACGGTACTGGAGCTCTACTTCTATAACAATATTGTTGTCCACTTGACTTTATCAAGGAATGCTTTGTCATTGACATTTTGATATCCGCTTAGATCTTTCCAAATGCAAGACAAGCAGCAAGCAGTAGAGAAATGTACAAGGCTGAGTACCATCTGTATGAAATCCGGTCATCTTCGATTCTCCGGAAGAAAGCCATCCGAAAGATGAGCGAAATGGTTATACAGGCTATGATGACTGACATCATTAGCGTCGATTTCTTGTACTGATAATCCAAGACCCAGTGAAATATATAAATGTACTGTGGTAGATTGTTAGTCGTTGCTAATTCTTGTCACAATAGGTAGCTGACCTCGAGGGAAATAAGGCCACAGGCCGTATACAAGCGGGCTGGATAATCTACGTCAGTAAAAGGTGACTTTCTGGAGATTGCATGACATACCTGGAATATCTCCAAGCAGGATCGGTGTTGTTCGACGACCGCAGGCCTTATCACCAGGAACATCGCGAAAATCCTGAATCGATACTGTGAAGAAAACCCAAGTCGCAATCATCTTCACCCAACTCCATCCAAATTCGATATTTGAACCTCCGAGCTCCCAGCAAGCCATCAGCTGAGCAACAGTCCCTAATGCCATGGAGAGATCCTTTATAGGCCCAAACTTGGCCGCGCGGAGCATGTAGGAACAGAAAACTGTAAATATCCAGAGCATGGTCCATATATGGATATTGAGCATGTAGCTGTATATGAACCATACCGCAGTCGATATATAATACCTGACTTTCGTTGCAGCGACGCTCGTTTTTCCGGTCACGATTGGTCGATTGGGCTTATTGATCGCATCTTCCAAGCCATTCCCTTCGGCGCTGTTTGCAAGATCAATTGTGTAGGCGTACAAAAATCCATACGGTAAGGCACCTATCAACGAACTTAGCACCCCAGATGTCCTAAACAGATAATAAAGGCATTATTACAGGCAATGGAACGCAGGGCCTCGAATATATCTGCTTCCCTGTATAGCAATGACGCTATTGGAAAAATTAAAAATGGCAAAAAAGCAGCATCGACGTTGCTTCTCATATAATGATATGAAAGGTAAATTTCTTGCTTTAAATAGTGGCATAAGGAACCCTCTGTCAAATTTAAGCTGCCCTTGGTCTCTCCACAATGATTTTGAGGAGCCATTGTAAAAGCGAAGAGGATTTAGTGAAACGGAAATCTTTTAAAAAGACATGCGGAATGCTGAGTGGGATTAAGCGCAACTTAATATACTACATCAAGTAAGAGAAGGCTGATGGTGTTATCCAGTTATCAGCGCCTAATGCAAGGTATAAGGTGTGACTCAAGAAGGCTTTTCCTAAAAAGAGCGTCTCCCTGTATGCGGAAATAGCGGTAAGTAGTTAACTAGTGATAGAGCGCTCACTACACTGCGCCACCCTTGCCATTTGCGATGTAGTGAGTCTGTTCTTGTTGCATATCATATGAACAATCATCTTACGCTGCCAGGAATCGATGTTTCTGGCCATTTTGTAAGTGGTTTGGGTAACTGCAGTTGCTACAGTACTATACGTTGGGAGGAGTGTGAACGAACGACGGGATGGTGGGCAGGGTGGTTATTTTTGGACATGTAACAGTACATAAATATGTGGTTTTATACTTTCAGCCTTGTTACCATGCAAACTTGGAACAAATTTTTAAATACGGAAGTAGCCGTATAAGGTTTAGCGTATCATGTGATTAGGGTTTGAAACAGTATCTCTCTGTTTCCCGATATGGAAGGCAATGACGGTCGGCACTGTACTAAAAAGACTACTTCCTGGGCAAACTTGGCAACCTCGTAAACAAGCTCAGCGTTTCCCTGCTGGTAAGCTACCTTGTCATCTCGCAACCGATCAGGCAATCGCCCGACAGGAACACGCCTATATCTACCCGTTCTGGTGCTTACCCCGAATTTTGCGATTTTGAGTTTTCAGGTGGCTCCCCTGCGGGAGGTTTAGGAGTGTCCAGTCCACTGACTGGCCACTTTGTCCATCGTAGATGATGAGGGGGTTTCCGGCCGAGAGCTGAGCAGGTCAGACAGCTATGAAATTGAGTTTCGATTTGAGTTTGGTTGATACAGTGTTAGGACTAAGTACGGGGTAGATATCACTATCGTCGTTTTCTGGTTCAGGCCATGTGGTTGATGGCCAGGCAGATGTCCGACCTAGGTAAAACTAGGTAGTATGG